ATTCCTTAGAATTCGGTAATACTTGAGTCATTACTAGTGGTTTACCATGACCTTCACTTTGGAATTAATTATTCATTTAGAATTAATTATTAATAATCATACATTATGCATTATTCATATTAATGATGAACCTGTTTACAGTAGTTCTTATTAGTTCTTGGGGAGGCATGGAAAAAATAGTAGTTCCTGATTAACTAATAGTGAACTACTACATTAGATTAAGCAATATTACTTACTAATTCATTAATCAAAGTTTCTTGTTAGTAACAAGTAGTTACTAGAGTGCTAATATTGTGTTACACATGTGTTCTTGTGTAGTTATTCATTAATGACGGAACAGTATTCTAAAGTGTTACCAATAGTAGTAACCACGATAATCACTCGTGCTGTAAATTGCTTTAGGAAATTACTGAAGGTTCACAATTAACATTTTAAATCAGCAATATTCTAGACTGGTTTTTATCAGTAAGTAATTTCATTCATTCATCTTGCACATGTTTATATCAGCTTATGCAGGTTAGTATAAAAATAGATCAACTTCATTCTCTGTGGCGTCCAGGATGGTCATAATTTATCTGTGAACAGGATCTCCAATCGGGGCTTTTTCTTGTCCACTTCATGAGCTGAACATCCAGTTACCAGTGTGCGCACAACAGCAGCCTCATCAGCATGGTCAATCACCTCGCTTATTGTTTATCAACCTTATCTAATTGGAGACAAGTTGGAGTATGAGTTAAAGTGGTTACTACTTATTAATGCAAATAAGTAGTTACTTGATACTGCAAAATTATACAGAAAACTACATGTGGTGGTGACTTACCTTTTGGGACAAACTTAAGCGAGTGACTGAATATTCAAAAACGTGATGAGCCCTCCTCTGGCCCATCATTCAGAAACTCGTGGCCTAGTCCATTACCACACTTTCCACACAGAACCTGCATATGCATGTACACATATATGAACACACAGGAACATATTAGTGGTGTCTGTAAATATTGACTAATTTAAAAAAAAATGTATTTGACCTTGTAGGCTGTTAATGTCTCCATCATTTTTGTTACACTGTCCTCTCGAATAGTCTCTGTGAAGGCAGGCCAGGGGGAGGAATGTTCATATTTGGATCTGCTTGAAAAGACTGGATGTCCACACTGGGAACAAACATATATACCTGCAGAGAAACAATAAATCAGGTACTTGTCCTTTTCGACCAGTTTGTAAACCAAACACTTTGTTTTCTTGGCATTTGGAAAAATGTAAGCAAAGTTGGTTAGCAAATTTCGCTACATCAGTTCAGCTAAATTATACATCATATACATCACAAGTGTCTAAGCTAAGTGTTACATCATAATATTCCTTAAAGGTAAAGGAAAGGGAGCATGTTGTGGAGAGTAAATAATGATAAACATTACTTACCGGGTTTGAAATGATCTTTATACAACTCCTTACCGAAAAAAGAACAAAATGACATTGTCAGAGAGCAATAGATAAAACAAACAGTGTATGTGTATGTGGCGATCAAGTGTGAGGACAACCTGAGAAACTAATGGACGGTAATGTTCCGGTCACGTGACTCTTACAACACTGCACGTGCACAGTTGAACTTTCCCTGAACGACCATGAGGTGTCAGTGCAGATCACCCTAACACTCATGTCTACTTAGAGAAAATGCTTGATATAATAACGAAATGTTTTCATTAATAGGCCTACAGGTGCTTTAATAAACTGATTCGTTTAAAATATTAATTAAATACATTAAGAATAAAGTTATTTTCATAGTAGGCTAAATAATGAATGCTATGATATGGTTCATTAAATGTTTTTGAGCAACCTCAACCTTTTAAAAAAGTAATGAAATATAGTTGGGTTCAAAAGTCAAAGACCACAAGTGAAAATTCAAGTACTTTTCACGTAATAATTTACAAATGGCAAAGAAAATACTTTTTGAATTACAAATTTGCAAACACAAAATAAATGTCAAGACCGGCAGGTTGACATTTAAAATAGGGCATGTTGACATTGAACCCTATAAAGCCTACTACTGTATCATATTTGATAAACAAAAGACCTCTAAATTATCAACATTATAAAAATGGGAGAGAGAGAGAAAAAATAATCATGTATCAATTATGACACATCAGGCTTTTGAGGAACGTGCATTACATTATAGCCTATGTTTTGCCCCCCACAATAAAACCACAGAGTCTTGATCATAAAACTAAGCATTTAAATATCACCTTAATAAGACATATTATTGGGATATATAGAGTGACAAGTGATATACAGTTTTATCAGATTTTATCTAAAGGTTCAATACACTGTCCTAAACTATAATGAACCAATTTTCTGACTATTATTTATTTTATTTATGTCAGGCTTTAAAGGGTTAATATGCTTTTATGACTCACTGAAGGATTACACTTCACTTACACTGAAGGATTAAGGATTACTTAAACCTATTAAAGATCTATGTCTTTAATAGGTTTTGATCACTCATATTTGCAATAGTGTTTAAGTAACTCCGGAAGTTCCAACCAGTCCAAAGCCATTCTGTGAATGATGTGTTTCTGAATTGTCTTTCGGCAGAGTGTCTGCAGTGAGGCAACTAAAACACAGGAGCAAAAGAGAGAGATTATTACAGTCTGTCTGTTGCAATGTGAGTCATATAATCATATCAAATCATATTAGCAAGTTATAAACTGAAACTTACATCCATATTCCACCTGTACAATCCGAACACTTTTAGTAGCTGCAAATACATCCACAACAGCATACAGTGGCTTATTGGTGGGGATCCTCTTGGCAGAGGCTCCCATGTCTTCACCATTGATGATAATGTGCATGTCGGCATACCCTTGTCCCTTAGGTACATAGACAACCCCTATCCGACTGCGACGGGCAGTGGGAGGTAGAGCATTGGTTTTGTACAGATCATCCAGGATGTGACTGAATCTCCCGGGCCGACTGCGTCCCACTAACTTGTCTCTGGGTATGCTCGTGTTTTCTATATACAGGTGAGTGTCTGTGAAAAATGTTTTAGGCTTGTTTTCTGCTTCGTCACCAACATTTGGCTGTTCACCACCTTCTGCTTCTCCTCCTTCATCCTCAATGACTTTATTATGGTTTCTTGTTATTGCAAATACCCAGCTGTCTCCCATATCGACAAGATCAGGCAGAGAGTATTCTGGCACAGTATCCAGTGTTCGAGGGTCATGGGCAGTAAGTCCAATCCTTAAATGACCACACCACCCCAGTTCTTTCTCTTCAATCTCTACTAGGAAGATCTCTCCAGAGCTTAAAGGGTCTTTACTGAAGCAGACGCCATTTGCAAAACTTTCTACTCGGGTGGCCTGAGTCCTCGAGTGGTCCAGTCTCACATTTATCCCATGAACTGAATGGAATTCCATAAACTGACCCAAAACTGCTGCCATTTTGACAGTTTTCTATAAGTTAAAATAAGAGCCGTGATTTTGTAATAACTCAAGCTTAAATAAAACAAATGCACTAAGGATAAAAACTAAAAACTCACTCATTCATGAATGTTTACTGTTCTCTTCTATGGGGATAGTCCTTGTTAAAAGCATGATCTTTTTAACAGATACCTCTACCATGGTACCGTTGTGGCTTGAGGAAGTTTCTAGTTCTGACGGGCTGACTATTTTTGACCTCCTGCATGTGTCATTGGTGGTTTTAAATAGCTGACCAGATATGGTGAGTGAAGAATAATGACTGGGAGGAGTTTTAGCCTTCAGATCAGAACTGCTCATTGACAACTCACTATCCACTGTTTCTTAGAGATCAGGGTGTTTATTTAAAAAAAATAAAAATAAATTTAATAGGTAGCCAGTGCAGAGACTGTAAAATTGGGGTAATATGAATGGTCCTTATAAGGAATCACAGAGTGACCTTGTGTTGTATATTTTTTCTAAGTAACATTTGTCTTCTCAGTCCAGAGAGATCTGTGCTAAGAGAGCTCCACAAAGCTTTATCTAGGCCAAAGTAATTGTCCTCTTTTACCCCACCTCCCTAACACAGTCTGAGACAGTAAAATATTAGTGAGGCAGGCTACATTGTGGGAATGCACATTTTTTTGTTATCAAATTAAAAATAAAATGTAGTTTCTTTTTTATTATTTTGCTGTTTTAATGTCAGATTCATTGATCTTGTTTACATACTCAAGAATATTCTGATATTTATTTGAACGTGGTCATATTATGATTATGTATCATGTAAATGCATTAACCTGATTTTTATAACCAGATACAGGAAAGAACATATCATACATATACATAATCAGAATTTTAACACATTCAGAATATCCTCCATAATTATTATTATTTTTTATAAATTTTTTTTTTTGACTTTTTGTGATTTTTAACATTCTGTCAAGGGTCTACAGATGAAAAATATTTTGGCTAATTCTGGCAAATTTACAGTCATGTTCATTTATGTGCATTTCCCCTGTAAAAAAAGTGAACTAAAGTGAATATTAATTTATATTTATATTGAAGAAATTAATTTGAAGCGAAGAGAAGACTCAATTTTGAAACATTTTTAACATTGACCTAATTCTATGAATTGCATATTAAAAGGGAAAAATAAGGACATGAATTAGACCATGTTTAAGTTAAGTGTTTTATTAAATTGTTGTCCAAAATTAGTAAAATGCAGCATAATAAACTGTAACAGTGCATTTACAGTATTTCTAGACCATAGTAGCTTATTTGTTTTATGCATATTACATTACATATTCCAATAAGCATAACCAGAATATATTAATCTAATTCTGAAAGTGCTGTGCATGTAAACGTTACAAATTCAGGACAAATGTAGAGTGGTTAGGGTCATCGGCATGTTTGTTGTGTCTTTATAAGCGAGTGGATGTTGGGGCAGAGTTGTTGTTGTTTTTTAAATCGGGATTAAAGTGGACTCCAGCCTTCCTATAATCAGATTGAGGAGCTGCTGTTCGCAAAATCACATCTGGATGGAGCCTGTGAGGGGGAGGAGTTAGTCTCTATGGGGATACACAGCTTCACAGAAATATAACAGCGATGTACTGCATAAGTGTAGTAATAATTCAAAACTCCGGAGGATCTGCGCGCTCTAGGCTACAGTCCAGATTTACCAAGCGACACATGCACATCTGCACAGCCCTGCAGCTATAATGAACGATATAAGCGCACATCGCTCTTTAACTGTAGCTTTTATCATAAAGTCTGATGTCAAGCTGCGTGCATACTCATGATTCGTGCAAGACGTTTTAAGAAAGTGTCTCTTCTCTGGGAATGATTCACGGAACTGCCACTCACCGTTACTGACAGGACGCAAAAGCTGATATTTTTGGAGATCAGGCGATGGTGCAGAAATTGGGTGAGTTAATTCTTTTCTTTTGAAATGATCTCCATACTCACAGAAAACGCCATTGCCAGTGCTTCGAAAAGTGCTGCCTCAAAATTGCTTTAATCTAGTGTCTATACGAGTATCCTATATACTGCATCAAAACTACAAAGCAATACACCTGCCTTGACGAATCACCTGCTGTGTTGCCTGTTCATTACAACAAATTAAAGTTGATCGTAATGCTCAGTATTTGTATCCATCTTGTCTCTGGGAATTATTAATGAATATAATCCATCTGAAACATTTGCTTGAGTTAAATCCAATTCATCTGACATTAGGCAGAGCTGTTAATCTGTTGAGCATTTTTTGTGTGTCAGACAGATCTGAAAGAATATAAAAGATTTTACAGTATTTTGTGTATAATGACGTACTATAAACATATTTGCATGCGATTTTTCCATTTACCAATAACAAATTCTACAGAAGTTACATGTCTATTTATTGTCTATCATAGTTTAGTCCAGATGGTTGCCTTCCAGTAGGCTGTCCATCAACATGTTTTTTTTACTACCATTCATCCAAACACAGTAGCTCAAAGGAGATGATTAAAGGCCTTGTGTATCCAAGTCTGCCTAAGCTTAAATTAATAATCGATAACTATTTGTACGGAGTTTCACTGTACATCGTGTTTTACTCTGTTGTAAATCATAGCTGATAATTCAGGAGAATTTGAGAGAAATATATTTATTTCTACTGTACCACACCAGATTATGGTTTATGCACACCGTTTTTACACTTATAGCCTATACAACACTGTCGATTGTTTAGTAGAAATATATAACACATGAAAGAGATCTGACATGCCACATAGTATAGATGTGCCCTTGAACAGTCTGTTGGTTTATTATTTCATCAGTCCATTTGAATGAAGAAGCGATTAAAGAGAGTTTGCCAGTTGCTGGAGAATTGGTGTCACATGGGTTACATAACCACAAAAGGCAGTCTTTAACTTACATTTAAATGCCTTACTTGACCTAGAAAGATAGTAGGAGATCTTTGCTTTTAATTCAGTCAGTTGACTGAACTAGAAAGTCCCATTTGCTCCTGACTAAGAGATATATAGCTTAGTCCCTCATTATGGTTCCCTTGATGTACTAAGTAGTATTTTATAATGCTGCAGTCTATAGGGAAACTAAATGAAATTAATGGGCATAACAAAATGAATATTAGTTCTGTTAATGGTCTTGTTTGTGTATCGTGTATTTAAGTGTTACATAACCTCTAGTAGCCCTAGAAATGATCAATGAGTGAGAAAAATGATCATTATCCTGAAAGTGCCCTTTGGCTTGTTTCTTATTTTTTATTGAGCACAGAAAGAAGACAATAAATCTTATGGGCAAAGTGTATTTTCATCACTTGAGGGACCAAAATACATACTGAAATGTAACATTAACAGAGAATATGCATATGTTCAGCATAATTACTTTGCCTTTTATACAAAGAGGATATTATCAGGCACAAAGTGCATGAACTTTCTTACATTTTTCTTAAATCATTATATAACAACATAGTGTCTATTTTTTTTTTAGAATTTCAGAGTATGTAGATCTCCCAACCCCTACTTATGCATTATATAATTTTTTTATAGACTCTAGATATTATTCTAGATATTATCACCTGTAAAGCTTTTGACTCAAAGGCCCCTCATTGTCCAACTGGATATTTGAAGGCCTTCATAGGCTGAGATATTTAGGCTAAGATATTTTATTAACAGAAACCATAACACTTTAAATAAATGAATTAAACATGATTTATTTTGTGATTCCAGAAGTTTCAGGTCCTTGTAGAAAACCACTGCTGTAGAGGGAGAAAAGGTCCTTTGTTGAGGCACAAAACTGATCCAGCCAATATTTTGTCCAAAATGAGCATTGCCAATGAAAGGATCTTCCTCATTATCATAATACTCTGTAATGCTCTAAAAACTGCTGATGAAAGTTGACGCAATATGACTGTGTTGTCCATATATCTGGAGGCAAAATAGTTTCATTGGGAATTTTTTTTTTTTTTGCTGACTCAAAGATTTTTACTTGTGCTCTGTAGAGATAAATCATGGCAGGGACGACAGGAAATGAAGGAGCCCACAAATTGGCCGGAGGGACCCAGAGGCCAGGTTTACAGCTGCAGCAGGACACGGACCAGAGAGGCATAGTGATCCAACTGACGGACACCGAGGGTGAATGGGATAATCTTGATGACAGTGAACTCATATTCACCTTGGATTGTGATGGCAAAAAGTCACTCACCTCCCTCCGGAACCGAAGACCATGTTCCGTCGACATTCAGACGGAGGGGGAATGGGGTCTCAGCTCGCCTGCATTCAACGTTCCTCTCTCTCCATCTTCACCAGGCTCCTTGGGAAACCCGGGGTCTGGCTTCCTCTCACCCACTCACCGGCCTATGGCCAGCTTAGTGAAGTCATTATCTACAGAACTGGAACTAAAAGAGACTTCTCTAAAGCCCAAACCATTCCTCAGCCTTGTGAAGTCGATTTCCACCGAGCGTTCTCGCAGTGAGACGGAGGTGTCTCAATCCAGGTCTGATTCCAAGCTCAATTTGCACTCGTTGTCACAATTTACCCAGCCCAAAAGCCGCAACGGTGATTCCCGCACTGCCCCTCCATCTCCAGTCAATTTGTCCCCCACCGAGCCCAAAGCCAGCTTCTTCAAAATGGAGCTAGAGGACACCCGACGCAAGCTCTCGGAGGCCATGCAGGAACCTTTGAGCATGTTCAGTAAGATCATGCGTGAAGATAGTGTTGGCAGCCCCAAGCACCAAAGGAGTACAGGATCAGTGGACTCTCCAAGCTACAAAGGCTTTGGAGTTGGGAAAATGAACACTGACTTACCTGCATCCGAATCTCCTAAAAGTGCTAGGAAAGCAGAAAGTGAGTTTCTACCAGAGTGCAACTGGCCTGTGAGACATCGCAAACAGTGTGTGCAGAAATCCCTTTCCCATGATCACCATAGCAGACATGTAGACATTGGGACTGTGATGGAGTCCAGCACTCATGGCAATGCGTCCCAGAGCACAAATATGAATAGAACTGATCAAGATGGTTTGGCAGAAGATGTGACGGAAGAATGCTCCTCTCCAGTGCCAGGAGTGGGTCTTGCCTATGTAGCATTTCTGTCATACTGCTACTTTATCTTTCCTTTGTCAGCGTATTGGTCTGGCCTGTTCCTTGGTTTAGTGTTTGGATTAATGTTGGGGCTTGTGCTGATCCGTTGGGACTCCATCAGACACCTGTCCACCAGTCACCATCATGGGACCTCCTATAATAGCATTCTCTTTGAAACCCTACAGAGCAATGTATCTTCTCTCAAGGTGAGTTCGATGCATTTTAGAATATATTTTTGAAAAAGAATTGGCCTGATACTCTCTACTTGGAGGTACTTGTAGCATAACAAACTATGTTATTAAAATTATGTTTTTGTGTATACACTACTGTTCAAAAGTTTGGGGTCAGAAACTTTTTTTTTTTTAATAAATAAATTAATACTATTATTCAGCAAGGATGCATTAAATTGATCAAAAGTGACAGTATAATGTAAGTTGATAAGAGGATTTTTTTTTTTTAAATATATAAAAAGAAATTGCAAATAATATTTACATTTTATTGTTGTACTTTAAATAAATAAATAACTAAAAATGCAGCATTGGTGAGCATAGGGGATTTCTTAAAAAAATATTAAAATATCTGACCAAACCCAAATTATATCCCAAATATATATATATATATATATATGTATGTATATAATTTATCTTAATATACCTCAAATAAAAATAAATAAAATAAAAACAAACCTATATTTCATACACTTTTTAAAAAACATAATTATCTATACATTTTAACATAAGAGTCTATATAAATAGTGTATGAAATATGAAATTTGAAAATACCAATAACAATATGAAATGTATTATTACCACTACCCATACTGCACCACTCAGGAAAGATTTTCCATCAAAAAGACATGAATCGCAACACAGAGGAGGACATTTTGTAAATTATATGACTGGCTGCATCTGAAATCACATACTTCCCTATTTAGTAGGTGAAAAAGTTGTGTATGTGACAAAGGATTTATGTTCGAATTCACAGTACTCATAAAAGAGTAGGCAAAAAGTATCCAGATGACCTACTTCCGGCGAGATTCTGAAGTGTGCGTGCAATGGACACATTGCTATCCCATTGAATAGCAATGAAGCGACACAACTGACACTTTTAGGTCACATGATAATGACAACATTGTGAATCTAGTACATCCAGATTGCATTCATACTACACACATTCATACTATATAGAACATACTTTTTAGCAGCCGCAAAGTGATTACTTATTCAAAATAAGTACCCACTTACAAGAGTATGCGATTTCTGACCATTTCTCCCACTTCCTGAAGAGCATGGATTATCCACCAGGGGGCAGAAGACATAGTTGGGTTTTAATTTTAGGGTTGAATGCTAAGAAAAGCAATAGAACAGCACCGTAGGTAACAACAGCCTTGCAGACTGTTATTAAACCAAAACCTGCACTTCAATGTGTCAAATCTCATGTCCTTCGGGAATCAGTTTTTTTTTTACACTGCAGTGAATGTCACAAGCCTTAAACTTGCTTCTGTCCTAAGACTGAGCAAAACCCTCATTACCACTCTCTTCTGTGATTATTTCTGCTCTTCAGTGTCTGATGCAGAATAATACACACACCCACTACTTGTCACAACCAGCTACAGAGCTTATCCCGATGCCCCACTTCTTTAATTTGTCTGTCTCTGTGTTAAAACTTTGTGGTAAGAATGCAGTGATTACAGTAGAGTTTATGTGAAATGTTTCGGCGTTCTAGGGCTGGATGAACGAGATGTACACATATGATCCAGAGACTTACCATCCATCCCTTATGCACACTGTGTATGTCACATTGGACGGACCCTGTTTGCGGCTTGACTACCCACGTAACAACATTCCCCGCTGGGCTACTTTTGACGAGCCCTGCTACAAAAAGCATTTCACCCACTCACGGATATTTCAACTCACTGGCAGCAAGGTTAGTGTACCACTGATTTTAGCACCTTAGTAGAAAGAGCATCCATTGCCCTTCAATGTTAGTGCAACACAGTTCTACTTATGGTCTCTGAACCTAAATGGCTTGAATTTTAATGTGGCAGAATGTTGCATAGATGTCATGTAATTATAATGAAGTTGTTGCCTTGGTAACAGGTATTTCTTCTGCCACTGGCTTTGGCACACAAGAGAGTGTGGAACAGGAAGTATCCAATCTCCATAAGTTTGGCTGAAGGAGAAAGAGCTGTGGAGGAAGACGAGATGTCAGAGGGTCAGGGGGAGGCTCAGAAAGTAGAGAAATCCCCTGGCTCTAAGACAAATGTTTCCCATCCTGTCACACTCTACCTGTTTGGACGAACAGGACGGGAGAAAGAGGAATGGTTCCATCGACTGTTTTCCACGTCCATTCACAATGAAGAGGACCATTTTGAATCTATATCTGGTGGTAAAGTTGCAATCAGTTAAACACTCCAATGCTTAAAAAAGTAACATTCAATGCTTAAAGACTTAAGTGAACTGAACATGCATAAAAAATGATCAAAATATGTCAAAAAATGTTTTTGCATATGCTTTTTAATGTAATTTAATAACATTGTTCATGTTTTTTCCATAAAGGAACATTTTAATTTTGTGGTAGTCAAAATAAATAAAAGTAAGTGTTCTATTTTCAGTTAAAGGGGTAGTTCACCCAAAAATGAAAATTACCCCATGATTTACTCACGCTCAAGCCATCCTAGGTGTATATTACTTTCTTCTTTCAGATGAATAAAATCAGTGTTATATTAAAAAATGTTCTGGCTCTTCCAAGCTTTATAATAGCAGTGAATGGTGGTCGAGATTTTGAAGCCCCAAAAAGTGCATCCATCCATCATAAAAAATACTCCACACGGCTTAATAAAGGCCTTCTGAAGCAAAGCAATGTGTTTGTATAAGAAAAATATAAATTTTTAAAACTTTATAAACTGTATGTCACAGCTATCGGCTGGAGTGCCCATGACAGCCACCACAGGGCACTGTTTGCTGCAGTATTGCACTATGTGTTTTTGTCACCCTGTCTCTGTTTATTTTTGTGGATTACTGCCTTCTGGATTACTTTTTTTGCCGTTTGTTTTGTTTTTTGGACTTTTTGTTGTGGATAATAAATGCTGATTTTGGATCTTCATATTGCCTCTGAGATCATTTCGTGACGGAATACTGCAGCCATCATCTCAGATCCAGCAGCTAGCCAGTCTTCACTGACTTTTGAATCATGGGCATTCGGGTTCTTCCTCCGGCTTCTAAGAAGGAGCGTAAGGCTCGGCTCGGCTCAACTCGGCTCGGCTCTCTTCGTCAACAGGGGATGGGAGTAGGAGGTCTTGCACAGACTTTTTGGACTTTGGCGGTAGGACTGGAATTTTATAATTCCGAGCTCAACAAGATTTTTAATGAATGCTTGGATTACCCCTTGCCTCTGTGGGAGATGGAGTGACTGAAGACTCTTGACTTTTTTGGGGGTTTTATTGACTATCTCTGTTACCGCAGTTTAGTGGTTCCATCCGGTCAGTCTGTGCCTGTTGCAGTGCCCCCAGAGAGTCTCAAGTCAGATTTATCTTCCCCAGAGAATAGTGAGGCTTCTTTGTCTTTATCTCGCAAGCAAAGATTGAGAAGGAGGAGGGCAGCAAGGCCCACTCCTGCTGTTCCAGAGCCTTCTCCACTCCGGGAACCCTCAGAATCCACTCCAGAGCCCGCGCCAATCCATTAGTCCGCTCCAGCTCCACCCGAGGTGGCAGCTTCTGCTGCAGAACCTCCCATGATGGCGGCGTCCTCTCCAGTTCCTCCTGAGGTGGCAGATTCCGCTGCAGAACCTCTCGTGGTGGCGGCTTCCACTGTAGGACCTTACGTGGTGGCAGCGTCTGCTCCAGCTCTTCCCGAGGTGGCAGCTTCCACTGTAGAACCTCCCAAGGCGGCGGTGTCCGCTTCAGCTCCTCTCATGGAGGTGGAATCCACTTCTGAAGCCTCTGACTGTCCCGTCATGGTCATGGAGGCCATTTATGAACTCTTTGACTGTCCAGTCATGGCCAAGGAGACCGTTTATGAACTCTTTGACTGTCCAGTCATGTCCAAGGAGACCGTTTATGAACTCTCTGCCTGTCCTGTTACGGCTGAGGCCATTCCTGAACTCTCAGATTGTCCTGTCAAGGACATGGAGGCCGTCTGTGAGCTCTCTGCTCTGCCGGACCCGCCTTGGCATCCTGCTCTGCCAGCTCCACCCTGTCCTCCTGCTCTGCCGGCTCTGCCCTGGCCTCTTGCTCTGCCGACTCTGCCCTGATTTTCCTAGTTTACATCTGGCCCAAGGCCATCTTCCACCACACGGGCCTGGCCCACCATCCCTCCCCCGATCAGCCTCCTTTCCACCTCCCTCCTGAACTTTGTCCTTTCATGGAGCGTCTGGAATCCGCTAATTAAAGGGGGGGGATTATGTCAGTCATCGGCTGGAGTGCCCATGACAGCCACCAGAGGGCACTCCTCCCGGGTCACTGTTATTGCTTGTGGACTTCATTTCCCATCACTCTTTGCTCTGTCTATCAGGTTTCATTGTTTCCAGCTGTGTGTTATTTAGTCTTGTTAGTGTCCCTATAAATACCGTGTTTTGTTAATCTTAGTTTGCTGCAATATTGTGTTTTTCTCACCATCTCTGTTTATTTTTGTGGATTACTGCTTTCTGGATTACCTTGTGTTTTTTGCTGTTTGCTTTGTTTTTTGGACCTTTTGTTGTGGATAATAAATACTGCTTTTGGATCTTCATATTGCCTCTGAGAACGTTTCGTGACACTGTAATCTCTAGCTTCCGCTAACGGTCATTCTCGCGTTCACGAGAGAGTGGCATTCCAGCGGATTCTCACCGGAGCTTACACTTTTGAGACATACGCTGGAATGCTCTCGTGAACGTGCGTACAACAGTTAGCGGAAGCTAGAGATTACAGTTTATGAAGTTTTAAATATGGATATTTTTCTTTCACAAATGCATTGCTTCGCTTCAGAGGGCCTTTATTAACCCCCCGGAGACATGTGGAGTATTTTTATGATGGATGGATGCACTTTTTTGAGCTTTAAAATCTCAAACCCATTCATTGCCATTAAAAAGCTTGGAAGAGCCAGGACATTTTTAAATATAACTCTGATTGTATTTGTCTGAAAGAAGAAAGCCATATGCACCCAGGATAGCTTGAGGGTGAGTAAATCATGGGGTAATTTAAATTTTTGGGTGAACTATCCCTTTAACAGCAAATATCTTGAAATATATTACATTTCTCCTTGTTTAGAGGACAATTTAAGTGACACAGCTTACCCCCCATTGCAGAAAATGACAATGTATCTTCATTACTCCAAAGTTTTTCTTCCATCACCCCTTTTGGAACAGACCTTTTGTTGTAATGAGGATGAAACAAAACCTGACTGGCTGAATGCACTAATTGGTCGGATCTTTTGGGACTTCCTCCATGAGAAATACTGGGCTGATAAAGTCCAACAGAAGATTCAGCGAAAGCTGAGCAAAATTCGGGTAAGAGAACAGATAGGAATTACAGGATGTTCTTTAACTGGACTAAGTGTGAGGAGGTAATGTTCTTTTAAATCTTCCTTAAGCATGGTTTCGAAAAGTGGAATAAATAGCTTGTGATATTAATGTTCCTACCCAGTGTGCATATGTTTCTGTGTGAGTTTACCCTTTTTTTCCACAGTTGCCTTACTTCATGGATGAATTGACCCTCACCGAACTGGCCATGGGCTCCAGCATGCCCCAGATAACAGGCACATCTCTACCACAGATCAACAGCAGAGGTGAGTGGGGCTCCTAAGAGCCTCTTATAAAAGAGCAGATTAGGTCATTCATCCATCAGGACTGCTTGAGCGTATGTGTTATTATGTTCCTGCACTGAGCAGTAAATGAGATGTTATTATCCTTCTGTAATATCAGGGATCAAAGAAGCACCATCAGCATCACATCATTGTCCTCTGAAAATAGCAGCATGTCTGTGAGCGTGAGCACGTGTCTGTTTACGCATTCAGCTGTATGGTAAAATGCTCACTGTGAAGCATATGCAGGATGTATTTTCCCCATGAGAAGTGAAGTTAATATTGTGTGGGGCACATCATGCGTCTTTTACTCTTCGCCTCATGATCTGTGGGTGTTATGTAACACGTAATGGCTTTCAACAGAGTCTAGCTCCCTTGCTAAGGTCTCATCCCATTTATGGATTTGTAATGTGTGCTAGTAGACATGTGGACATTTTATTGTGCTATAAATATTTGACATTTCATCCAAATAAGATCATATCGCTTTAATTTTGACCACTGACATATAGTGGTGCTATAAACGTACATACACTTAAGAGTTTTTGATTTCACATTATTCATTGTTAATTAATTATTAGTAAATATTAAAATAGTGATTGAATGTATGTGAGATTAGCTGAAAAAAATATATAATGTTAATAAGTATATATATATATATATTAATATTAGCTATCTTTTAATCAAAATATAAAACATTATTTACCCCATTTATATCTGCGAGCCGTGTTACACATTTGCCCTGTGTGTTAACATCAGTAATTATGAATGTCGAATGTCTGACTTGACTCTTGGTAATGTATTTTGCCCCCTGCCCAGTCACTACACACACATACACACACACATACATACACACACACATACATACATACACACATACATACATACATACATACATACAGAGAGAGAGAGAGTTATCACAAGAAATCATGCATTTTTCTGAATAGAATTTATTTAAATAAACATTACTGAAACATTACTGTTATTACTGAAAGTAAAAGTTGAACAACAGGAACAAAAGTTGAAACAACAACAGAAAACTTAGGCTATTATTACATCTCAGGGGAAAAAAAGACAAAAAAACTTGTCTTTGTGTGTCAGGCCTTTGGTTGCATTTGGAGGTGGAGTACACAGGAGCACTACAGATGACTCTAGAGACCAAAATCAACTTCTCCAAACTTGGGAAGGAGGGAGTCCCTGAGTCAGAGACAGAGTTGGAGACCATTCATGTGTTGTAAGTTTTTGGAGAATAAAATTTATTTTCTGAGACAAAAACTGTGTCATTATCTAGTATTTATCTTAATACAGCATAGCCTCTACAAAGTCTATTATGTAACCTATACTACAAACGTTTGAAGTCAGTTTTTTAAAAGGCATTGCTAAAACATTGATAATAATATGAAATATGTCTTCAGCACCAAATCAGCATATCGGAATAATTTCTGAAAGATCATGAGACACTTAAGGGTAATGGCTGCTGAAAATTCAGATATGCTATCGCAGGAATAAATTACGTTTTTAAAATATATTTAAATAGAAAACAGTTATTTCAAATAGTAATAATGTTTCACAATATTAATGTTTTTACTGCATTTTTGGTCAAATAAATACAGCCTTGGTGAGCATAAGAGACCTCTTTCAAAAACATTGCTTATATGCTTTTATCAGTTATAATGAAAAAGCGTGTATTTAATTAGAATTTGAAATTAAAACATTTTCACTGATTCACAGTTCTGGAGCCCACTGTGCACTGCATTGTTGTTCCTTAGACTCAGTACAATCCTAGCGTTGTTTGTGGGTGTATGTTTATGATATCTTGTTATGATGAGGTCCTGTCCGGATGTGTTCTGTAGTAGCAGGTCCAGGCTCTCTGTGCTGGCTGACAGTGATGAGGAATCCTCAAGTGCAGGATCCTCTGATGAGGAGGAAGTTTCATCTGCTGACACTCAAGGAACTCTGACTGAAAAGGCTCTACCTGGTGTTGAGGGGTAATTATTATTAACTGAATAATTTATGTAATTCAACAAACAGTTTTTGTCTGGGATCTCAATTTCTGGGATGTTACAACTCTTTATTATTCGGAATGTATGCCAGAAATGCTGTTCTTTTAAATGAAACATCAAGATTTATGTGTCTTGCTGACACCACTCATGAGGTCCTCTATTATGTCCTTAAAAGGGATGGTTCACCCAAAAATGAAAATTCTGATGAAAATCATTTATCACCCTCACGTCATTCCGTATGACTTTCTGTCTTCAATGCAAAACAAAATATATAGATATTTTGGACAATGTCCAAGCTGCTTCAGGAACAACCATGATCACCATTTACTTTAAATATATGGAAAAGGGCAGCTTGGACATTTTGCTAAATACCTTGTTTTGTGTTCCAGCTAAGAAAGTGATACAGGTTTGGTGCAATATGATTTTTGGGTGAATTATGCCTATAAAACATCATCTCTTTGAGTCCTTTGAAAATAAATGCAGCTTAAAATAAATCAAGGCCACCTGACGAACTTTGCATCCCACAGGGCTGCAGCTGGAGGCAGTACTAGTAGGCGGATCTTGAGATTTGTCGACAAGATTGCCAAGTCGAAGTATTTCCAGAAGGCCACGGAAAATGAGTACATTAAAAAAAAGATTGAAGAAATGTCCAACACCCCGCTGCTGCTTGCAGTGGAAGTTCAAGAGCTCTCTGGAACACTTGCCGTCAACATTCCTCCTCCCCCCACCGACAGAATATGGTACGAGCCATTCTCACTCAGCTAAGCACACGCTGTTAATGTTACAGTACATTAGGGACTGAAGCCTTGCTTAAAGCTGCAGTCCGTAACTTTTTTTGGTTAAAAATTATCTGAAATCAATATTTGAGCAAGTACATAACCAGCCAGTGTTCAAAACTATTGCCTTACTTTAGCCCGATTCACAAAGGTTAGCTTATAATAATGTTTTCTAATTTGAGTGGTACGGGTAGGTTTTCGCGGGAAATTTGAGCATGGCACTGTGTCATTACGTCACGTCTGTAAACATAAAGAAGTTGTTCCGGCTACTAGGCTATCACATTTGAGGATCCTGCAGGTGGCCGATCGTTTATAGCCTTTTCTCACAGCAGCCATAATAATTAAATGTATCATTTTGATGGCGGATTGTAATCCATAAAGGATTATGTGTTTATGAAACACATGTGAATGAAATTAAATTATATTCCAGTTATAAATGTGCTTCTGATTACAGATAGCCTGGGATTACAAAGATTTGTATTTTAAAGAAAACCAGTTCAAAGGGAGCATAATTTGCTTTTTGGGTTAAAAGAATTTCTTAATATGAAATTCAAAGAGTATGACAATTAGATTAGACTGTGCAGAAATTGATATCCACACTGACTGCCACACATACTCCTCAAAACATTAGATTCATCCGCGCCGACTCACAACCCACGCAAACTAGATAATTCAGCACTCAGCTGCAATTCCAGGTTTTCAAACAGAGATGGCGACAAAGCGGCAAAATTTACGGACTGCAGCTTTAAATTTACACAATGTCTGCAGAGATTATCTGGAGCAATCATGCTACTTAAAGTTTGGTGTCATTCACTCTTGAAGGTTTGACTTTGTTGTAATTAAATTTAAATTTGAGGGTAATGGATTAGAGACAAGTGTAACACTGGCTGCGTTTACACTTGGCATTAACATGCGATCACTGTGATCCGATCAAGCAGATCGGATCATCAGTCATCAGGACATGGCGCGTTTACACTTGGCAACATCAAGTGACTTCTCTATTTGGATAACCGATCGGATCTCTCTTCCCCGCGCATTGGCGTGCAATATTTAAAGAACCGTAATTTTACGAAGCTACGAGAATACTTTTTGTGCGCAAAAGAAGAAAAAAAAGACTTTATTCAACAATTCGTCTCCTCCGCATCATCCTGTAGCGCCATTTTGGAGAGTATCCGCTGGACTAACCCTTTAAATAAGTCTTCAGGCAGTTCGGGAGAAAGATGGTTTTGCGTGACGTCGACCTGCGAATGCAGACACGATGGCTAGATTACGTTTACATTACACTGAGATCCGATCACAATGCGTCATCGACTACTTCTGGACCAGGACACGCTTATTGGATAACATTCCGATCAGAAGCGCATTTACACTTGTCTTTTCTGTAATGTGTATGTAGACAACATCGGTAACCCGGTCGCATGTTAATGCCAAGTGTAGACTGGGTGTGATGTGATGAGTTCAGTGATGCAATCACAGCCAGTCAGAAGATATTTGATGTTTCAGGTGCAGTTATGAGGAGCAGAATTTTGGAGCAATGAAATTTCCCTCTGGGTGCCCTTGTGAAAAATAAGTAGTTAATATTAAAATAGTAAAAATAGTACTTGTTATGGAAATAGTATACTTTAAAAGAAATGTGGAATTTGTAAATTGGACTGTAGAGTCTGTTTTTAACTTAAGTAGGAGGACTTTAGTACATCTTTATATGTAATTTTATAATTATTACTTCTGTTGTCTTTGAAATATGTTTAAAGTGTACTGTCAAGCATCTATGGCAAACTAATTAAAACTTGTTTGTTATTTATTTGATATTTGTAATTACACATGTGCAATGATAAAGTTTATTGATGATGAAGCAATTTTGTACATTTAAAATATATTAACTTTAACGTAATATTGAATAAAACAGTACTGATAAAATTCTAATCAAGTACTTTACATGTGCTTTAGTTTCTTAGTCAACGAATCAACAAATCAAAATAAGTGCACTTTAAGGTGCACTTTAAGAGCGGGAAAGCGGCCCGCTTTTTGCCTATAAATCATTATGTGCAATCAGGGTTGCAGATATGTCTTTGGATGCATGCCCCAGATTAAGTGTTTTGTCGGTTCTCTCTCAGGTATAGTTTCTGCGGGCCCCCGAAGCTTGATCTAAGAGTCAGACCCAAACTGGGAGAGCGAGAAGTGACTTTCTGCCATGTAACTGAATGGATTGAAAAGAAGCTACAGGATGAGTTCCAGGTTTGTTTTGATGATTTTGTGATGACTGGAGCTTCACTATAAATTGGTGTGCATGTTAACCATATGGCAGCTAATTTAATTTAATTTGTTTATTTTAGTTAAATTATTTCATGTAAAATGTTTACATTAACCCCCATAACAAATCTTGTCCAATTATTTTTCCAGAAAGTTTTTGTTTTGCCCAACATGGATGACATTTACCTACCGCTAATGCACTCTGGGATGGACAACACACCAGCTTTCCCACAATACCCTGCAAAGCTCTCCCAGCATTCCTCTATGACCTCCACTGACAGGTGTGATCTGGAACATTCTGCAGAACTACAGTAGTGCCTCCTTGTGGATAGACATGACAATAAACCAGTAACATCATTTAACTTCAACAAACTTCTAGTAGTGTAATTTACATTCAACTTCATTTAAACATTGCAGCACAGAGCAAAATGTCAGTAACTCCCACACATGTTCTCTCTAAATGAATTGGATATCTCCTAATACAATCAATACAAGGCACAGTGGGTAAGATTCCCATCATCCCGGAAACCCAAGTCTTGTTATTCTTATCATACCAGTGGCTTAATGTGTGAATAAAGTATTTTATTACTTTATTGCGTTTTTATGTCCTGAGGACAACTGATTATTTGTTGAACTTCCACAGTGGCTTAAATTAGACAAATAAGCATGAGTAATAATCAATAAATATCAAATAATAATGAATTTATTTAAGAATTCATATTTAGAATTAAATGCAACTCTTTTTGAAAAAAGTCGCACATAGATGATCCAGAAGTATTTGCATTTTACATCAGAAATTATTATTAGTATCAAAGACATTTTTTGTATGGTTTCACATTTTCTTGTCAAGTGTCACTTCAGGATTGTTATATCTGAACTTAAGCAGGCATTTGAATGTTACAGTATTTTTTCAGTATCTTTTTAATGCATTAGCATCAATGTCTCACTTTATTAACCTCTCAAAGCTGTAGAAGGAATGTGTAAAGAAAATCTTCACAATTTTGTTTATCATCATGCTTTTCTCTTTTCTCAGTAAATCTGTAATATTGTGTGTTGTGCTGCACTTAAGCTGACCCACAAACAAATTTTTGTCATCATTTACTTGTTCTCATGTTGTTCCAAACCTGTATGATTTTCTTTCTTCTGTGGAACACGTGGATGTCACTGTTTTTTTCTTCTTTTTTTTTTAGTCCATACAATGAAAGTCAGTGGGACAGTTGAAACATTCTTCAAAATATTTTCTTTTATGTGTCACAGAAGAAAGAAAGTCATACAGGTTTGGAACAGCATGAAGGTGAGTAAACAAAGATGCAAGTAATTTTCATTTTTGGGTGAACTATCCCTTTAAGATGACTATAAAAGTGGAAAGACACATTTAATAAAACCGCACACATAAAGGACTAACTTGAATGCTCTCTTTGAATTCTGAAAGGTATTTACGCTATATATATCTGACTCTTGAACTGCTGCTGTTAGTGTGACGGTGTCTGCTGCTGCTCGGACTGGCGGCATTAGCATCTGTCCAAGCACTGGTTCCCTCCCCTTCTTCAATTTCCAGATCGCCAACCTCCAGGCTCTCACACATCAGGTTTATTTGCCTCCTTATTTGTGCCATCCGGCTCTGCATGCGCTGCATCTTCCTGCGCAGGTTGGCTGCGATGGCCCTCTGCCTCCGCCGCTCGGCTACATAACGCTGCTGCAGCTCTCGGTAGCAGTTATGTTGGGCCTGATTTTCACGGACGAGCAGCGTGCCGCAGCCCATGGGACACAGCTGTCGCCAGTGGCTGCAGCTCTGATCATGCGCCTGCGCGTCCTTCCTCAGCACCTGCTGCCCACAGCCCTCATGGGGACAGAGCTGCCACTCATACGGACAGCTGGAGATGTGGAGGTACTCGTTAGAAATCCGGAAAGTGGCCCTGCAGCCCTGCTGCGCATTTCGACACTAAGAACACAGACACATGGAGTTGTTTCAAATTCACAGTTTAAGTACTAGAACTTTAACTATACTGTATATCAGACTTAAAGGGATAGTTCACCCAAAAATGAAAATTTTATGTTCATCTGCTTACCCCCAGGGCATCCAAGATGTAGGTAACTTTGTTTCAAATTAAACCCTGCGGCTTGTGACGATACACTGATGTGTAAAGACACGAAACGATCGGTCTGTGCAAGAAACTGAACAGTATTTTATATCGTTTTTTTACCTCTGATTTACTGCAATGTCCGAACTGCGCGTTCTCAACAGCTGGTGCGCAGTGTTGCCAACTTCTTTCAATAGAAAGTAGCTAAAGCCAGTTTGAAAAGTCGCTAAATGTCGCCAGATGACGTCATACACTAATTAGCATATGCATGAAGTCAGCGCATCTGTTGCCTTTTACATTTGTTTGTCTCTCTCTGTGCTCACATACTGTATTTTAATGCAGCCAAATTCTCAATAAAACTGTTTTCATTTATATATATTACTGTTTCTGTTGTCAGACAACAGAATAAATATGAAATAGTGACCGAAATGCGGCCCTTTAAGACTATATAACCAGCTCTCCCTTCCAAGACGTTACAGAGAGAGAGGTGTGTGCGCGCTGACCTCGCGCCGTTGCGTCAGTACCAGCGATCACAGAGACTCGCTAAGTTTTGTCCAAGAAGTCGCTAGATTTGTCGCTAGTCGCTTTTTTTGAAAAAAAGTCGCCAAGGGGTCTGAAAAGTCGCTAAATCTAGCGACAAAGTCGCTAAATTGGCAACACTGCAGGGAAGTGCTACAGCGCGCAATAAACAAACTGAAATTGTAGCCTACATAGTTTGTGCAATTACAGTTATTTAAATTGAACGTTGAAAGATAATATTGGTCATGTTCTATTTTGTAATGTTAATAGAAATCATACACTGTCAGAATAAAAAGGTTGCATTTTATGCATTCAACAGTCTGTCACTGGCAGTCCCTTATGAAAATGAACCATGGTTTTACTAAAGTGACCATAGTTCAACTGTAGTATTTATAGATTTGAATCATGTGTAAACAAAAAAACATATTTGAACCATGTGTAAACAAAAATATAACCTAATAAGTTACAATTAAGGCGTATTGATTGTTAAAATGCGTTTTAAACATAAAGTTAAGTGCTTATCACTACCCATTTTACTCTTAGTAATTTAATACATTTCATAAAACAAAGTCACCTACATCTTGGATGCCCTGGGGATAAGCAGATAAACATCAAATTTTCATTTTTGGGTGAACTATCCCTTTAATAAAAAAAAAAAGTTACCTACCTTGATTGCCAAACGGCCAATGGATTTACTCAGTTTAAACGGGCATTTCACCTGTCTGAAACAACACTGGCTTTAACATTGCTCAAACTAGTTTTTTTTTGTTTTGTTTTTTAAAGAAAGTAATACTTTTATTCAGCAAGGGCACATTAAATTGATCAAGTGTCAGTAAAGACATTTACAATGTAAACAAAAGTCTATATCATATAAAAGCTTTTTTTCTAACCTTCTGTTCATCAGAGAATCCTGAAATAATCACAGTTTCCACAAAATACTGTTAAATTGTTACCTTTTCATCCACTGTAAAATGCATTCCTTGCAGAAGACATGGTTGCATTTAAGTCGTACAGGGCAGCGTAGAACAGCTCTACAGATGACACAAATCAGATCATCATCTGGGGTATCCACAAACTGCTCCACTTCATAACCTCCAGTCTAATACCAAAATAAAATAAAAAAAAGTAATATATAATAATTTTATTTATATTGTAATGTCATATGGATGCTAGTATTATTACTAATTTTACTCAATTTAAATAAAACTATTTGAACTATTTAAAATCTCTTTTTATATAATAAAAAAATTCATGTCACATATTATGAGAATTTTTAAGTTTAAGCTTGTGAAGTAAATATACATACATATATATATATTATTTTTCCCCCCCACAAATTTATATAATGTAATTAAAAAAGGAAAAACTCACCATTTTCACTTGTGAGACCAGGGCACAGCTAATACAGATGCTGTATATGTTGAATAATTTGTAGAGGCAAAAAGACAGGCATCTGTCATAACAACACGCAGCAAAACATCCCAAAGGAGATCACTTGACCCTGGATCATTCAGAAATGCATTGCAGATGTCCGATTTTCTCTTCTTTTCCATTCTAGCACAAGTAACAAATGTGGTTAGCACCTGACAACTTTTTTACACTAACCACTGGGACCCTATTTTGGTACCATCTAGGTTTTACTTATTAGACAAAGGCATTGCTATGGAAACCAGTGAACTTCAATGGCTGCCTGCTCTAGAGGCTACAAGCCCTATTCTCTAAACACACAGGTCTGAATGGCCAATGAACACACAGCAGCATTCTCTGCACAACAGAATATATTATAAATCATTATATGTGAAAATAATGTGTTAATAAACAGTGTCATACACTTTAACTGAATTTATGTCCCATACTTTAACAGTTAAAGTAAATCAATACCTATATTATTGGAAAGAATTTAGCAAAAGCTAAAAAGTTTTTTTTTACAATAAAGAAAACACCAGTTTGTACTGGTCACCGTTCATATCTACATGGGAGAATGGTGTAAGATGTGCTTCTTATGGATAAAATCTACCCTCATTACATAGTACACCATTGTCTTAATGTTTTTCATTGTATTTTTTGTACTCACTTGTTTACAGATTTAGCATATGATTATACTGGAATTTTTAATGTGGATAACAATTTAGAAAAATGTAAATATTTAATTTAAAAAGGAATCTAGATGAAACTTACAATCAAAACCACTGCAATTTCCAGAATACAGGAAAAACTGGAAGTGGAATAATCAATATAGTGAACGAATGTTGATATTAGGCTGCAAAGAAATGTACCTGTGCAATTCCATACTGTATTATCCTATGCAATGTTGACATAAGGGGAATTTGTCAGGAGAATCTCACTTTGTACATACACAATCTCTAGAATGATAATAATCAACAAGCAATACAGGGCGACAAACTGTTTCTGAGAATGTCTGGTTTTATTTTTAATTTAAGGAAATGCAGCTTCCTATAAATACATCTCAGCCACTCCTTATGTTATTGTTAAAAGTTTATTAGCAGTAGCTGACTTTTTCATGTTACCGTCATAATTACGCAAGGGAACTTTCACAAAAATAAACTCAACTCTTTGATGATAATAATAATTAGACTCCTATTCTTAAAATAAGCCTAAATATATATAGTAGCATTGAGTGGAATAATTTAGTTTGTTTTACTCATAAAGTGGTCTACACTGACAGTCTCTGTAGTTATCAGTGTTTCATTATCTGGAAATGTTTAATTGAGTGCTTGCTTCTGTACATATTACATAGTCTGTACATATTAAATTACCAGCTCCCATGAAAAAAAGTCATGACATCAGAATTATTAAAATGAGGTTTGAAACATTTATTGAAACTTGTGCAGGCATTAACACAAAAGTCCAATTTTTTTTTCTTTTCCAGTATGGAATACCATTAGCTCCAGGACAAAGATAACAGTCTGAATATAATGTTAATGAAAAAATAAAACTCTTTAAATATGTACAGTATACTGTAACTACCTTTAACAGGTTATTATAATATATTTGATTAATTCAATATTTATAGTATTAATATAGCCCCACCAAGGATTAAAAGATTACAAAAACCTCAGATTAATATTGTGGTATCATACTCAAAGACGATCAAAAAAAAAAAAAGGCATAAAAGGAAAGAGTCTCTCATTGTCATATGCACCCAAATGCTCTCTCACCTCTTTCATACTCTCACTTCATCTACCATGACTTCACTTTCAGGGGCCAGGCGAGCAGAGGTTGCCAGAGCAGCTTTACGAGTGTAGGTTGTGCAGCGACGTAAGATCTCCTGAGTTTGTGGTCTGGGTGGCACCCTGGGAGCTCCGACTCCTTTCATAGGGTGACCAGTGTCTGAGCTGGTGGGGGTTGACTGGCCACTGGACATACCACTATCATTGCTGTCTGGTTCTTTATCCTGCTGTCTCAGGCCCTCTTCCCACTCTGAGCTGGACATGCTTGGGCTCATGGAGGTGGTGTCTGAGGAACTGAAGCTGAAGTCCGTTCCATCATCGCTGAAGCTGCCAGCTTCCTCGTGCTGTACCGGCTCTGACAGCATTTCCAGAGAGTTTGATTTGAGGAAACTATTCATTCTGCTTCGTGAGTGGACCTGAGGCTCCAGTTTTAAAGAGCTGTTTGCAGACTGGTGGATAGTGAAGCTGTGAAGTTTCCTCTGAAGAGTCTGAAGGCCAAAACTGGGGCTGCTGTAGAGCTTCAGGTACATGGAGGGCACATAGCCTACCTTTCTGTTGTATCTGTAGAGGGAATAAAAGATTTAGGTTTTGTATGGGGAAGACTCCATGTACATGTAGACTTTCTTGATAAATTGTAACTTGTCTTGACCGTAAATTTGAATCAATATTCATAAACATGAAAACTGCGGCCTGTCTTTCAAATTGCTCTTGTCTATTAATACATCCGTCTTGAGGCCAATTCATACCGCACAAACAAACACCAACAAACTCGAAAGTCTGTTGCCGTTGGTCGGGGTTTGTTTTTCACCCGAGTGAACAAGTTCAATCAGTGTTTGTCAGTGTCTGTTGGGGCAGTGTGAACATGACAGTTGTTTTTCATAAAATTCTAAATCCAACAGCCAACTTCTTTGTTGGTGTTTGTGTGGTGTGAATTGGCCTTTACAATAGGTTGCCATTCCTATCATTCTTTGAATGTCAGTGCAATCTGTGTAAAGAACTTTAATTACCTAACAAGCCACCAGCCATTATCAGACCTCTGTAACACCTCCACAACAGCGCCAATGCTCAGAGAGAGCTCGTCCTCTTTTTTCGAGGTGTAACTTCTTGTAACGCAGTACAGAGAACCTAGTGGAGCGAGAAAATGTTTGGTTAGCAAGGTTATCTTTGGAGATTCATTATAACAGAAAGTTTATGTAGCAACCGTGTCTTACTTTCAAAGGTAGTTGAATCAAACTCATCCTCATCCTCTTCCTCATCACATAACTCCAAGTAGGGAGCAGGAAACCAAGCTAGACATTTATCCTCATTCTCAGCAAGCCACCAACCTGTTCAAAACCAACGCCCACATAAAAATATAAATAGACTGTAAAGAACATTTCGATCAACTTTTCGTTTCACTTCCTTAAGGCAGATGATACATACCTGCTTTGTCTTTGATCAGCACGTCCAGTCTTTCATCCACAGTTACTTTGAATGGCCTGTTCTTTGTATCTTTGGTCTCATATGGAGCCACACATCGATATGTCTTGGATACAAAAGGTTGGGTCACATTGCCATTGCTCAGACGTTTATTCGCCAAGTCAGGTCCTCCGCTGACAGTGTTGATGTTGTCTGATTGCAGAATCATCACACTGCAGAGAGACGAGAGCAGCTTTAACAGACGTTTACCGCACAAACACTTCCCAGCAGGATCACATTAGAATTAAACTCTGGCAATCAGAAACAGATCAAGACAGAAATATGAAGTGAGCTACTCTATATACTGTACATGTTTTGGCAAGCTGAAGTTGCCTGCTTATCTGCTGCAAGGAGATAATCTACATACCTGTTCTGGGTATATTCTGGCAGAAGCTGCTGTTCAGTAGGCAAGAAGAATTTAATGACTTCTGAGGAATGTGACACAGTCGTGTCACACTGCAACAGGCTGGAACAGTATTTCTCCAGACACCTTAGACGAGATACTGACTTAGCCAGGCCTTTCAACTGAAATGAAGTCACCATGCACTGGGCTGCAAACAACAGAAATCACATCTGAACAACAAAACAAATACAGTGTGGATAAAACACCTTTAACAGGGCCCACTAGAGGGTTAAAGGGATAGTTCACCCAAAAAACGGTGGTTGCCATTGATTTCCATAGTATTTTTTTTCCTACTATGGAAGTCAATGGCCACCACAAACTGTTTGATTACCAGCAATCTTCAAAATATCTTCTTTTATGTTCAACATAAGAAAGCAACTCATACAGGTTTGGAACAACATGAGGGTGAGTAAATGATGACAGAATTTTCATTTTTGGGTGAACTATCCCTTTAATGGCCAGACTTGCAGATAAAGTTCAGCTATATGTTTTCTTCCAACATAAAAAAATGCATTATAATTATGCATTATGTAAAAAATAATAATCATTCATGCCTGAAAGCCTTTGCAATGTGAGCATCACCACAAAGTATTTAAAAACATTAATGTTACTTTATGATATTATAGGCTTAAAACAATATACAATAATGTTTTTGACTTGAGTGAAGTTTTTATATTTAAATATGAAACATTATGCACATTTTAATCTCCTAAAACTGCCAATCATACCTCCAAATCTGGGAAGCACTCTATCTTCATAGTTATCCACAGGAAACTTCTTTTTCAGTTGCCTCTGTTAAAACAAGAAAAGTAAGTTAGCTGGTGATTTTTACACTTCTAGTAACCATTTGTGATAAATAAATGACTGTAAAACCTACATGGAGCGTTTTGAAGTCCCGGAAAGATCTGTACACGATTAAATCACTCTGGTCTGACCACAGCACGGATGTCATGAACTTCAGTAAAAAAACAAACAAACAAATTAACAAATTATCTTACCAATACTTAGTTATCCTACGAATATACAACATATTCTTACCATGTCCTTGCCTTTCTTCATTACTCCGATAACTCGGACTTCGACAGGAAATCGAGGATCACTCATAGCTGATGCGGTTTCTGATGAACGAGATCACGGTGTGAACTCTATTCTTCCTTGTTCTCTTTCAGCATCACCAGTATCCTCATCATTTATTGCCAGCCAGACGTGGGCGTGTTGTTTATGTGCAAATCGGATAAGCAGCTGCGCTCACGTGCGAACTGAGCGGAGAAGTTATTACACAATAATACTATTTATCAGTAATAAAACCTCAGTGTTGTCTTCAAACCAAGGTAAGATAGGTTATGACACAATATTTGTCAGTGATAAAACATCAGTGTTGTTTTCAAACCATAG